TTGCAGTGCACACACAGAGCCCTGCATAGACCTGGTGTGGTCGCTCATGCCTGTGATGTGAACACTAGGAGAGGGAGGCAGGAAGATCGGCGTGCAAGACCTGTCTCACGAACAAGCATGTCTTGTAAACATCCAGCCGTGGGACTGCGTGTTGAACAGTGTTACAGAGTAGGTAGTCTTGAGGGTTGAGCAGACGTGTAGCCGAGACTGTCTCTAGGAATAATATCGACTCATTTTTTTAGTCCTGATTTCTTTCTTCACCTTGTAATTTCCACATTTGGCCCAAAGCACTTTGAAATATGGGCAACAGAGGGTTGTAATGGTTATATATTATGGATATAAGCTTTTACTTAGTTAATAACCACAGCCAGTATTTGGTTTTTAGGAGAGTTGAAGTGTCAAAAATAAGTCAGTTTACACAAAGGGAGCAGGATACTCTGAACTTTTGCCTAACCAGTTTTAGAACAGAATGGTTTCCTGGGAAGCCCCAGTTTTTTTCATGTATCAGTTAGAGATTTTACCTTATTGACTGCCTTTATTTTTCTGATTATTACCTACTTGCAGTTTAAGGCAGATGATAGAGTAATAAGTTTCATTTGATTAACAGTCACTGGGTTCTGGGCGGGTGTCGCCTCTCTCCACGTCTTCCTCTTGTCTTTGAACACAAGCTTTCAGGGTGGGCTTAGGCCTCATTTCTTTTCTCCCCCACCTCAGAACACTCTGGCCAAGTCACCCTGGAGCACTGTTTTTAAAGGAACACATGTAAAACTCCCAGTGCCCCTAGACTGGTCACCTCCAGTGGTGAGCTAGTCTTGTGTAGTGTTGTCTAGGTTTGTCTGTTATTGTTGTTCCTCAAATTAGTTAAGCTTTTTCTTTCCCTCGGGCTTTCATTCTTTCTCAGTATGGAATTCTCTCCCACCAGTTCTTCACATGTGTGACTCATTTGGGGGGTGTAGTTTATCTTACTCTACAGTCTGTTCATTGGGGGGTATTTTGATTATCTTACTCTACAGTCTGTTCATTTTGGGGGGTAGTTTATCTTACTCTACAGTCTGTTCATTGGGGGGTAGTTTGATTATCTTACTCTACAGTCTGTTCATTTTGGGGGGTAGTTTATCTTACTCTACAGTCTGGTTCTTTGCAGGATTTCCTCACCCTGTCACTTTCCCTCACATCACCCAATATAATTCCATCGTGTGTCATTCTTACTTATATATTTCTTTGATACCAGTCTTGCCATGTGGAACACAATCCTTGAGAGGGCAGAAAGCTTGCGTGTCCCAATTCCTGAAGTGCCAGTCACATAGTCATTGATCAGAAAGCATTCATAAAATGATCATCTAATGAGAAAACTCGGAAGGAGAATCTGAAGATAACATCATTTGTAATTCTGGTGGCTTTTAAAGATGACTACCAAAGTTGTTCCTTAAGAAGCTTCTCTATGGATAGGCTCCAAAGTTACAGAGAAACCCTGTCTAGAAAAACAAACAAACAAACAAAAAAGAAGAAAAAGAAGAAGCTTCCCTGTCTGTATTGTAAACCGTGTGATTAGATGTGACCGGGACAGTTTAACCTCTGTCATACGTCACCAGCCTTTCATTTTGTCACAGAATAAAGGAATTGAAGTAACTGCTCCAATAAGCAGTTCAGGCACCTACAGGACCCCATACATTGACATCTTCTAGTAGGAAGAGATTGCTCTGTGAAGTCACCCCAACCGTGATGTCATGATGATTCTTCCCACATGGAATCACTGGAATATGACTATAGTCTTAATGTATACACAAGCCACTGAGTCACTTTACAATAGAAAGACTGGATAAAAGACTCTACAATCCTCTTGTACAAGTTAATCAAAAGGGGGAAATCATCTTAGTGTCTATGTGTGAAAATGGTGTGAAAACCTGTTCACACCTCTCTCTTGCAGAGAGTGATTATCTGGTGGGGTAAACAAAGACTGTGTTCAAGTGAGGCACCCACCAGGGTACCCAAGAATCCACAGACTCCTTCAACAGACAGAAACAGTGCAGAGAACAGCTGGATGTTCTTTGGTATTGAATTTGATATTGAATGAAAGGGCATGAAGCCTTAGGCTGTATGCCGCTGCTCAGAAATTGCCTGTCTTTTCTGATAGTGGGGAATTTTCCTTGGTTTGGTGGTGTTGGGTCCATAAATCAGAGTAAAGACTAGCTATAATCTAGTATTTACAAGTGTTCTATTGTTGTGGAATGTTAGCTGGAGATAGGTTGCAGTTGCTTATGATGTGGAACTTTTGTTTAATGATGCAAAGATGTATTGCATTCTTTTATGTTGAATTTGTTTAATTCTGTGAAGCTGTTTTACTTTGCCTGTCTAAAACACCTAGTTGGTCTAATAAGGAGCTGAAAAGCCAGGAGCTAGGCAGGAGAAAGGACAGGTGGGACTGGCTGGCAGAGAGGAGAAAGCCAGGAAGAGGAGATCTAGGAGCGAGAAGCAGATGGGGTGGAGGACTTCAGAGGCCAGTTACCCAGCCACACAGCAAGCCATGGAGTAAGAAGTAAAGAAAGGTGTGTAGAATACAGAAAGATAAAAGCTCAGAAGCAAAAGGTAGATGTGACAATTTAAGAAAAGCTGGCTAGAAATAAGTCAGGCTAAGGCCAGGCATTTATAAGTAAAAATAAGATTCTGTGTGATTATTTGGGAGCTGAATGGTGGCCTCCCAAAGACAAAAGAGATCAAAGAGCAAAGAATTTTTTTAAAAAGCCCAACAACAGGGGCTGGAGAGATGGCTCAGAAGTTAAGAGCATTGCCTGCTCTTCCAAAGCCTGAGTTCAATTCCCAGAGGCTCACAACCATTTGTAATGGGGTCTGGTGCCCTCATCTGGCCTGCACACACACACAGAGACAGAATATTGTATACATAATAAATATTTTTTAAAAAGTCCAACAACATTCTATACAGCTATAGAAAAATGCATTCATTAGTTTCAAAAAATTCAGACAACTCAATATTTATCTCTAGGTTGTGTCCATACTAGAAAGGACACTTCCAGTGTTTTCCTCCTTCCTCCTCCTCCCTCTCCTTTGCTCACATCCTTCCTCTCATTTCTTCCTTCTCCCCTTAATAATTAGCATGGACCCTGAAGTCTCTGCAGAAGGCGGTGATGACAAGAACACCTCTGTCTGTGTTGGCCGAGAGGATGACATTAGAAAGTCGGAAAGAATGACAGCAGTTGTCCACGACAGAGAAGTGGTCATTTTCTACCACAAAGGGGAATACCATGCTATGGACATTCGCTGTTACCGTAAGATTTCGTTCTTAGAATTTGTCCTTGTTCATCACAAAACTGTCAAAGTTCAGTTTAGTGATTAGATATAATATCAATTCCTTTTCAGATTCTGGAGGACCCTTACACTTGGGAGAAATTGAGGTATGTAAAATTAAATTTACTCTAAGCAAATTCAGATGTTTCCAATATTTTTATTATTGGAACCTCTGTGGGAACCACTTTAGCATGTCTGTTTCTGGTGTACAGGACTAAAGCACATGCCGATGTGAGCACTGTAGAACTGTTGAGGGTTTTAGCCCATAAAGAACTTGCTACTCAGTGTGTCCGCCACAGCCCAGCACTCTTGACACAGTGGTACCTATTGGACATGTAGAAGCCCACTCCCACAAATGCTTCCTGAAGTTAAGCAAACAGCTGTGTTTAAAGCAGATCCAGGTGGTGCCCATGCTCCTTAAGGCTTGACAACACGTCCTTAGGACAGTTGAAAAGTTGGGACCACAGATTTCTTTCATTTGCACTCAGACCTTCAGTAACTCCCAGGCCTTACAGTATATCCCATCCCTCTCCGGACTGATTGGGATCTGTCCTTTAGAGGAAAGTTACAAGGTCAGTAACAGATAAAACAGAAGGTGTAACAGGAAAAGTTGAAATGGGAGAAGATTTCTTTAAATCCGCAGGTTTATTTGGGAACAGTCACAGAATGGCCTCCATCCTCTGGTTCCCAGCATTCTTCTGTTCTTGTGTTGCTTTGTCTACAAATTATCTGCCTCCTGTTTTAAATTATGGTTTTTACAGTTTTAAAAGTAAAATTAGGTATACTGAGACACTGTTCTCTTCTAGAAGCTACTGAAAATTTCTCTGGCAGCACCGGAAGCGCCACTCCTTTTTTGTGGCTCAGTGGCAGCGTGGTCTTCTGCCAGCCAGCCCTCTTCTGCTGGTGCTCCCGCTGAGTTCTAGGCGGCGACAAAAACTCCATTGTCCTCCTTTTGCTTAGGGCTGGATAACTTGGAAATTAGAAATAGGAGAGGGAAACACTGCTTTTGTACTAAACATTTTTTAGTATTTATTTAAATATATTGATATAAACATTTGTAATGTTTATTTGCTTAATTGTGCATGGAAAAAGAGAGTAACTGTGTGGAGGTGGCTGTCCTCTTCCATCACGTGAGTTCCCAGGAACTAAGTCATCAGCCTTAGTGGCAAGTGCCTTCACCTGCTGAGCCATCCCACTGCCAAGCTCCTCATTGTTCATGAGACAGTCTCATTGTGTAGTCCGGGCTGGCATCAAGATCCTCTTGCCACAGGTCCTGCGTGCATGCAAGTCCGCCTGGTGTGGTTCTTTAACCCGGTTCCCCTGCATTAGATTCTTAACTAAATCTGAAACCTATCTTAAACACTTGTAATGTCAGCCTATTAAATCTTTTGTTTTTCCCCTCTAGGATTTCAATGGACAATCATGCATAGTTTGCCCCTGGCATAAATACAAAATCACTTTGGCAACAGGAGAAGGATTATACCAGTCTATAAACCCTAAAGACCCATCAGCAAGACCTGAGTGGTGCTCCAAGGGAATAAAGCAAAGGATACACACTGTGACGGTGAACAATGGCAACATTTATGTGACACTTTCTAAGGAGCCTTTTAAATGTGACTCTGATTATTATGCCACTGGAGAATTCAAAGTGATTCGGAGTTCTTCCTGATTAAAAATACATATGGCAGCAAAATTATGTGTATGTTTGAAAATATTTTAGTTATTTTGTTCCAGTACCAAAGATAATTTTTTTTCCAACATGCGTACATGTAACTTTAAAAACCACCGGTTTTTCCAGGGCCTGCAGATGGGCCAGTGGCTCAGAGCTCTGATGGAGGAAGGTCATTGAGCAATAAAGAAACTGCTTGGCTGGCCCTGATAGGTTAAAGCATAGGTGGGAGGAGTAAACAGAATAGAATTCTGGGAGGAGAAGGAAGTGAGGTCAGACTCTGCTCTGCTCCCGGAGAGATCCGACAGCTCTGCTCTCTGGAGCAGAGACGCCATGCTCCACTCTCCCGATAGCTCTGCTCTCTGAGGCACACGCGATGAAGCTCCGACCCAGGATGGACATAGGCTAGAATCTTCCCAGTAAGCGCACCTTGGGGTGCTTACACACATCATTAGAAATGGGCTAGTCCAGGTGCGAGAATTGGCCTGTAAGGGCTAGAGTTCATGGGCCAAGCGGTGTTTAAATGAATACAGTTTGTGTGTTGTTATTTCGGGCATAAGCTAGCAAGCGGCCGGGGTGTTGGGGACGCAGCCCCGCTGCTCCTATTACAACAGACCTCTTGCTCTTCCTCCTCACCCTCACCCTCACAGTCGCCTCTGACTCCAGCTCCAGGGAATGGATGCCCTCTTCTGGCCTGTGTGGGCACCAGCAGACATCTCATAAAGAAAGAAAAATAAAAGCAAGTATTTTTTAAAGTCCTGGATTTGGCAGTTTTGAAAGCATGTTTACTTTAGTATGACTCTGGGCCACTGAAGGTCGACAGAATATATCCCATCCCTCTCCGGACTGATTGGGATCTGTCCTTTAGAGGCTCTGATGATCCACTTAGGAAAGTTACAAGGTCAGTAACAGATAAAACAGAAGGTGTAACAGGAAAAGTTGAAATGGGAGAAGATTTCTTTAAATCCGCAGGTTTATTTGGGAACAGTCACAGAATGGCCTCCATCCTCTGGTTCCCAGCATTCTTCTGTTCTTGTGTTGCTTTGTCTACAAATTATCTGCCTCCTGTTTTAAATTATGGTTTTTACAGTTTTAAAAGTAAAATTAGGTATACTGAGACACTCAAATTTTAATTGTATACTTTTGCTTACAAATGATTAGCAGACATTTATTTATATGTCAAAATTGCCTCTAATGAGGCGAATGTATGTGTTGAACTTAAAAATGAGAAACTTAAAACTAGGCATACTGGTACACACCTCTAATTCCAGCATTCTGAGGCAGAGGCAGGTGGATCTCTGTGGTTTTGAGGCCAGTCTGGTCTACATGGTGATCTCCAGGCAACCAGAGCTCCATGGTGAGACCCTACAGGAGAAGGAGAAGGAGGGTGCTAGATGTCAAAACCAAATAAAACTTGGTTTGACTTGTCTCTTAACGGGGCTAATTTCTGTGTGCGCGCACGTGTGTGTGTGTACAGGTTCCCATAAATGTGTAGTATTTGTTCCTCAGAGTTTACAAGCAGACTGATGTTCTCTTGGTTTACCCTGACCTTACTACACCAGTAATTTGTGGCCACTGCTGCTCTGACTGCCTAGGACCCATATCGTGCTTGTTATTGAGCATATAGAGCAGCTCCCTAGTGTCTGTCATGCAAAACTTAGCACTCACTCAGTAAAATGTAGGTGTAAATGGGGCCAAAAAGGGTGTGTAGGTTATGAATTCATGGTGAGACTGTTAAAAATAAAACTAAGTTTCAAACATAGTAATTTTCATGATGCAGGGTGAATTAAGTGTCTAAACCTAGTGCTTAACATTCTCCTTCACCTGGACTTTCACTGGGTTGTTGTGAAAATGAGCAAGGAGCCCCGGAGAGACGACTGGCTAGCAGCACTTGCTGCTCTCGCACAGGGGACTGCAGTGTGGGCCGCGGCACCCACCTTAGTCACTCACGGGTGCTTGGACCTTCTGCTGTATAGTAGTACATTTCCTTTTCTCTTGGGATATGGGTCACATGACAAAACAGATTTGTTACTCATTTCTGAGAGCACAAACAAGCCAGACTTGGACTTTTCAACAATGTTTCCATCAACAGTTACTCTCTGGGTTCAGAAAATGCGCCATCTCTGGGCAGAGTTCATACCAGCCTGTTATTTCTTGGATAGTCACAAATCTTATCATATCTTAGAATATAAAGTGCTTGAAAGCAACTGAAGTTGCTCCATTCAGCAAATCTAGGACTTGGTTTAGAGGACCAAGGATAGCAACATTTCTGTCAGGAGCCAAGGGCAGTAACGGACAATATGGATTCTTGTTCTAAATTTCTATCTTTAAATGTGGAAATAAAAGTGATCACTTTGCCAGGTTCAGTGCTATGATCCTATACTCCTGGCATCTCAGGAGGCTGAGGCAGGACAATCATTTGACCCAGGAATTCATAGCCGGAATGGGGATATGACCAAACTCCATTAATAGATAACAAACTCACCTTATTATTCTGTCTCATCAGATAAGCAATTTTTTTAATAAATTTATGGCATCTGAATTTCAAGTCCTTCATAACTTTACAAGTGACAAAAAATCAGTAGGGAGACTTGGCTACTCTGCCTGTAAATATAAAGAAATACAGTTTTTACTATCTCTGAAAGTGTAGCATTTTTTAAATAAAGTTTTTGTCTGCCTGTATGAATGCACACCACACTTCATCTGGTATGCAGAAGCCAGAACAGGGCATTAGATCCCCAGGGGCTGCAGTTGCAAACAGTTGTGGGTGCTTAGAACCAAAGCTGGCCTCTCTGTTAGAGCAGCAAGTGCTCTTAACAGAGCCATCTCTTCAGCCTCAAAATGCATAACTTTTAGTTATGAAATTTTCCTTTCCAAATAAGCATTTAGAATAATTCATAATTAAAAATATAAATGAATTAGGAATACATCAATATTATAAGCAGTGTAAACTCTAGCCCAACACAATATGAATTCTCTTATTCATTAAAAATATTGTATAGTCAGGGCAGGGAAGATGCTCAGTGGTTACGGGCATGTTCTGTTCTTCTAGAGGACCTGTGTTTGGTTTCCAGCATCCTTGTCAGGTGGCTCCTGGAGATTTGACACTCTCTTCTGGCCTGTGTAGGTACCTGCACATTTACTATGTAAAATATGTAAAAAAAAAATTCTGGGTAGTCAGACATATCTTCTACATCGTTTCCTTTTATTCTCTATGCCATGTAAATACAAGAGAATGATGTCATCATTTTCCCTGCTCTGCCCCTTTAAAAAGAGCATTCAGCATATGAAAACTAGTCTTCTGGTTTTGTCTGATGAGATGTTCCCATGGATAGATGACTGCTAAGCTCTCTGGAGTGGTATTTATCTCTGGATCTCTCATTCATTCAGTTCAGCTGATTGGTCAAACACAGAGTGTAAAACCTGGATCTTGTTACTCTGCTTGTTGGCAGGAGGTTTGGCGAGAATCGCAAGGTGGTCCGTCTTCTCCGGCAGTGATCTGTAAGGTTTCGCTGTGATTTCACCTTCTGAGAACATGGGCTGTGGAAGCGCAGGCTCAGAAAAGGCTTTCCTAAAGTTCTCACTCTCTCTGTTTTGCCTTAGGGATTCTTCTTCTTGGAAAATGTTCTTTGTCTTTGCCAGCACGGCATTAACACAGACTGCCTGTATCAATAAAAAATGTTGAAAAGTAATGTTTCTTTTTAAGATACTAGCAACTACACACAAAAAGTCAGTAACATGTCTAATAAAGTCAATAATCTACATGTTTAATTTAAAATGCCCTTTGAGGAAACCCTGACAATTGGCAAGCGATAGATTGATTCCTTATCCTAAGTATGGAAAAGTGTTTAAATAAAATATTTATAAGACTAATCTCAGAAGTGAGAAATGCAGCAAGTTTATTCATTCAGCTTATTCTGCATTCCTGATGATGACAGTGAGCCAAGAGGGAGGGGCACAGCATCGGCCAGGAAGCTACAGGAACTAGTTTACCTTACAGAAGAACTGCCTGAGGATAAATACTGCAGTGTTTCCTTCCTCTCCTTCAGATTTCTAGTAGAACCTCTATTGCAGTGACACATTACTTTGTTGTGATATTTCCGTGCATGTGTATATTGCATCTGAATCTCATCCGCCCTCTCTCCACCCCCAGCAGTGCCTTGCCTCTCTGGTAGCCCTTCCACTAGTGTAGGTGTTTTAAAGAATCATTATAGTTCATACGCAATGATACAAAACATACAATACTTTCTGTGTCTTTCTGCTTAACAGGATGACCTCAAGTTCATTCCTTCAACTTGTTCCAAATGATATAATTTCATCTCCAGGGTTTATTCTGCATTGATTGGATGATCATGCCATTTTTGTCTTCCTTCTGTTTTATACTGTATTAAATGTATTGATTTACAAATGCATCCTAACATCCCTGAGGTGAAACTGACTTAATCATGTTGGATGATTTTTTAAGATATATTTCTGAGTTTAGTTTGCAAGTATCATATTAAGAATTTTTGCTTCTAATTAATTTCAAAGATAATAAAGGGTTATCAAAGATATGTTTTGGCCTATAGTCTTTCTTTCACTTCCTTTTCTTCCTTTCTCATTTTTATATGTGTAAAGCTTATATTAATGGCTCAAATATGTTGTAAAAAGTAGCGTTTATGTGTTGATTAAAAGCACACATATTTTACTACTATTGTATGGAATATTGTGTAGATATTTGTTAAATCCATTGACCTTATTGTATCTAACTCATACGTATTTATAACCATTGCATCTCCTCGATAGATTTGTTCTTCTTAGATTTGAATGTGAAATGTTCTCCCATAGGGTTGGTCCCCAGGTGATGGACTATTTTGGGATGTTCTGATAATTTCAGTTCATGTGTACTACCTACAGAAACTATTTCATATTTTCTAGGGTTCTATCTTGCCCTGCACCCATGTCCTCCCCCGCCTCCACTGTCGTGCTGTTCTGCCTATGTGCCTTTTCATTGGTTCCTCCAATATCTTGTTTTTTTCATGTTGATAGCAGACTCTTAAAGCACAATTTCTTAATTCTCATATAGTTCAGCTTATTAATGCTTTTCTTTATATTGTGTGGGATTTTTTCTGTTCAAAGAAGTCATCAATTATAACCAAGGTCATGAGAACATTCTCTTCTATTATATTCTAAAAGCTGTTTTGTTTTGTGTTTCACTTACAGATTTATAATCTATGTGGAATAGGTATGATGTAAAAGAAAAATACTTACCCCAATGCTATTCAGTTGATCTGTCCCTACTTATCAGGAAAATCCTTTTTGTATTGTCTTAGAACATTATTGCCCCCAGTTTCTTTGTGTGTGGGTCTGTTTACAGGAGCTTCATAAAATGTCTTCTAGTTTTCATTTAATTATTTATTTATTATTTTAGTTTTTTGAGACAAGGTTTCTCTGTGTAGCTTTGGAACCTGTCCTGGAACTCACTCTGTAGACCAGGCTGGCCTCGAACTCACAGAGATCTGCCTGCCTCTGCCTCCCAAATGCTGAGATTAAAAGTGTGCACCACGTTTTTATAACTGAAAGAGTAAGTTCTGCTAGTCTGTGAGCATGGCACATCCTCTGTTTACTTCAGTCTTTTTAAAGTTCTAAATTTTTATGATGTTGCCATAGTTCTTATACATTTTGTTAACATTTATCATATTGAAACATGCATCAATATTAAACTTTTCCCACAATCTATAAACTTGATGCAGTCTAAATTAAAATCCAAACAAGTGTGCAGGTGTGTGTGTGTGTGTATGTGTATGCGCGCACATGCACATAAATTGACTAGCTTTTCTAGATTGAACAGGGAGAGCTGAGGGTATAAACCAGCTCAGTTCTTGCCTAATGTGCACAGACATCATAGGCTTGGTTTCAACCAATGTATAAACCAGGCATGGTTATAAGGGCCTGTAATCCCAGCAAACAAGAGGTGGAGGAGGCAGGGTTAAAATTCAAGGGAAGAAGGGAAGCATATGTGTTGATGTGTTTTACAGTAAGGAGCAGGCAAGACAGGGCAGGAGAGCAGCCTGAGACCTCAAACCTTTTGCTTCTATTCTTTCAAGAAAACCAGAGCTGCATCCACTCCCACAAGGATGGCTCTGATGCCTTCTGTAGCAGGATGGTGGGATAGAAGTGTCCTCCGCATGACTCTGCAAGCGAGAAGAGCCAGTCCAGCGACAGAAAGAGTGAAGGCTGGAGGACAGCAGAGAAGGGAGAACTGAAAGACAGCGAAGCAGCAAGGCCACTCGGCCAAGGTTCCAGACAGTCAGCAGCTCCAGCCTTCACGCCAGATTACCAAGGTGCGTCAGAGTGCTGAGAGTCCCAGTGATGCTGCCACACCGTCTTAACAGCAGGAGAAACCCACAGTTCGTGCAAGCCTCATTGTCCAGTGATGTGGTTTGTTCTGAAGGTGACTCACTGTTCAGAGTGTCTTGCTGGGATCCAGTGTGAAAAGGACATACTGTTAAGGACTGTGCTACGCTGGATTTCAGACTCCACAGAAAGGTCAAAATTTCAAGGCCCTGATGATTCCAGAGCAGTGACAAGGTGTGACAGTCAAGGAGAAGAGCAGCTCTGGCAGTCATTGAGAAGTTTATGCAGAGGGAAGTGAAATCTGTGGGGGCACAGCAGTCAGTACCCACAGGGGTCTCAGTTGGAGTGCTGGAAGGTCAGTAGATAGGGTTCCCATCTACTGTCTGTTTGCTTCCCATACTCGTTGGGGTGTCTGAAGATACTCTTGGACATTTGCCTGGGCATCTGGAGTAAGAGCGTACTCACCTATCAGAGATTGTTGGGGTTCAGGAGAGGCATGCCCACTCAGCCCTGTTACTGCTGGGGCTGTCATGGCTCCTTGGCATGCACACAGAAAGCCTGTGAGGTGAATACGGCTCTGATACATGCATCACTGGCCAAGCCAAGTAGAAAATGCAGGGCGGGGCAGAGCAAGCTAGGGCACTAGTCTGTTTGGTGGGGGAGTCAATGGCCACAGGCCTCATCTTCGTCCACTTCCCCACTTCCCCACCAGTCACATTCGGCAGACTGCAGTGTTAGAGGACAGGAAAGAAACTGCAATCCATGGGCCTCAGCTGGGGGGGGGGGGTTAGTGTTGTCTTCCTGTCTTTACATTATTTTTTTTTCTTGCTTGTGTCTAATCACACTTTTTATTTTAATTGGATTTTTAAATTCCTGTCTTACTGCTTTTAGCTATTTACTTTATTCTATATTGTCTCTGCCTCATTCTTTCCTGTTGTTATTGGTGGTGGCATTGCTGTTATGTTTCTTACTTGTCCGCTGTGTTTCTGTATCCAGAAGATTTGTTTTCCTGTTGTTACTATGATTATCTTCATCCCTTTGAGTGATTCTTCATACAGAACTCTCAAGGCTTCTAGCCAAGCAGTGGTGGCACACAACTTTAATCCCAGCACTTAGGAGGCAGAGGCAGGAGGATATCTTTGAGTTCAAGGTCAGCCTGGTCTGTAGAGCGAGTTTCAAAACAGCCAAGACTACACAGAGAAACCCTGTCTCGAAAAACCGAAAGGGGAAAAAAGGAAAGAAAAGGCTTTTTGCTAAGACCCTCACATAACATTAGGTGTCTGTCTAATAGGTATGCAAAAATCCAAATACAGAAATACAAGAGCTAGGAGTAACACAAGGCCCAGAACTCCTCCAAAAGTTCATATCTGAATCCAAAGATACTGAGGCATATGAAAGGCAAGAAATTCAGAGATTGTTCTTCAAAATGATGACTGAATTTGAATAGAATACAAATGAACAGCTGAATGAAATAGTCAAACCACCAGTATATGCGAAACTCGAACTAGAAAATAGAAAAGTCACTTACATCTCACCAATAAACAAAGCCAACTGGAAGGCATAGTGTCAGAGACTGAAGACAGAATGAACAAATAGCACACTCAGATGGCAGTGGAAAGGTAAATCATGACCGGTATAAATGGTAACTGGGGCAGTGATTAGAAGACTAGGTTTATGAATAACCAGTATTGATGAAGGAGCCAAGTTATAAAAGACACAGAGAAGCTTATTCAGTGAAAGAGCAGAAAACTTCCACTATATTCCCAGTGCAAGAAGAATTTAGAGCCAAGTAGCAACGAGAAGTTTGGATACCTTATGTAAACAGGAGTATATGCCTTAAATATACACAGAAGCAGGCCAGCACACAGTAGAACTTGAGCACTGGTTGGTGGGGAGGGTCAGACGAATCCCCGCAGGTTATGCAAGTCAGCCTAGGTGAACTGATGCAGTCTAGGTTCAGTGAGACTGTCTCCGAAGATCAGGTGAACAATGATCAAGGAAGATCTCCAATATACTCTTGTCTCTGTGCATATATGCATGTGTACATATACACATAACACACATACATATATCAAACATATACACACACACAACTTTCCAAACTGGCCGATTTGCATTGCAAATAAAACCCAAGACATTCTGCCTGCAAGGAACTCACATCACTAACAAAGTCATACACAGACTGAAAGTGAAAGGCCAGAAAATTATATTCTACAAAAAGTAAATATGAAACCAAGCAGGAAAATCTATATTCACATCAAACAAAATATACATCAAACCAAAATGGTCAAAGGGACAAAAAGGCCTCTATCAACAGAAGGAACTGTACTAAGTGGCTTTTCATTGCTCAGAGAAGTAACTGAAAACCCATTCTAAAGAAGGAAAGATTGGTTTGGCTCAAGGTCTCAGAGGTCTCACCTGAGGCTAGCTGTCTCCATTGCTTTGGCATTGGAGATTTTAAATAAAATTCACAGATGAGATATCCAATTAATTCATGCAATGCTAATCAATCTCATTAATAATCAAGAACATGTAAACTAGAAGCAGTATTATAACACCCCCTTAAAAAATGGCTAAAATAGAAAATGTTGACAGTATCAAGCACCACTGGTGGCGTAATAGGACTGTTATGGTCTTCTAGGATGTGTTTTAATTGCTAAAAGCCATTTTCGAAGCTTTTTTACAGCATGTGTTTAGTGATAAGTGCTTGCATTTCCTATAACCTAGCAATTATTTATTTATATACAGTGTTCTGTCTGCATGTCTGCCTGCAGGCCAGAAGAGGGCACCAGATCTCATTACAGATGGTTGTGAGCCACCATGTGGGTGCTGGGAATTGAACTCAGGACTTGTGGAAGAGCAGCCAGTGCTCTTAACCTCTGAACAACATAGCAGTTTCAACAAAGGACATGTACAAAGATATGTATGGCAGCTGTGAAGGTTCAAACTAGGAGCGATCTAAAATGCCCATGGGTAGTTGAGTAGAAAAAGGAGTACCAGTCACTAAAACCCTATACAGCAATGGACAGGAATAGACTCTGCTATAATAAGTAATGAATTTCATAATGACAATGGTGAGCAGCAGCAGCAGATGTGAAAGAAAATGTGTGCCATGATTCAATCTACATTCAATCTAAAAAGCTGAATCACCCACAAGTCGAAATGTCTGTCACACATATGGAAGAGAAGCAAGAAAGATGTTGTGGTAGCTGGCAATGTTTTCCCTCATGGCGAAATAGACCAATAGATCTTGTGATAATTCGTCAAGATAAGACCTTTCTTGAATTGTGTTTTTAATAAAGCCTATATGGATATTTTTAATGGATGGAAATTCATATAATTGATACAAACTTTTATATTTTTGTCATGCCCACCACTTATAGTCAAAATATAGTAGCTGTGTTCTTCAAAGTCACAGCCCCAAATAATGGAATACTAACTGAAGCCATCACGAGACAATGGTTATCAACTAGACAACAGATATCTCAAAGTCATAGCCCCAAATAATGGAATACTAACTGAAGCCATCACGAGACAATGGTTATCAACTAGACAACAGATATCTCAAAGCAAAAGTTCATCTGTTTTGACTAAATTTTATCGAATTTACTAAATTTGATTAAATTTCGTTAGATAGCAATTACCTTTAGAGAAGTAAAATCATATAAGCAGGAATCAGACGACTAGTGTGGAATCATTTGCACAGCCAGTGGTGTGCCTTGGCTGGTGACATTAAAGCTGATACCAGACACAATAGTATGCTGCTTCTAACAATGTGTGAAATACATTTATGTTAAAATCTAGCAGTTAACTTACCAAATAAATTAGTGCTGCGTAGGAAGCATACATTATGCTGGTTAAAGCAGTTTTTGCTGGAAAAGAAATTATTTCAAACAAAGAACCCTTTCTGACCTGCAAAAACAACAAAAAAGTTTATTAAAACAAAAAATTTCAAGATTTCGGTGTTATATTTTACAATATTAAGATAATTTAAACTTTTTAATCTAAAGAAAGTTGTTTCTATTTTTAACTATCTGGGCTTCTCACCCTGTGAAAATCCATTATTTTTGCTTCTCCCATTAGCAAGAAGACATATCCCTTTACTAATAAAAACCAGCCGCAAATCTACACAAGTCTGAAATTTCTGTTTCTGAAACCTGAAATATTTCAGCATTACAGCTGTGAAATGTGCTGGCTAGGAAGTACTCCCCTGAGTATTAGAAAAGGCTTTTCTTTGTCCAAATCCGCGCAATCATTCTTTACTAAATTATTCACAGCCTCAATTAAGCTTACAGTAATCAACATGCTAAGCATTTCCTGGAGATTAATGACCTGCTTGGAAATGTTAATCACGGGACTGCTGCAACCAGCCTTGACCTTAGCTGATCAGTAAGCTTCAGGCCTGGCTCCCGGCTCTTACCCAGCCTGCCGCTCTGAAGGAAGCACACCAGTGTGGCATATTCAGTAACGGGGTTTTTCATACAGCCACCCCTTTGCATGGAACAGGCTATGAAATGAGGCATTTCCTTACCCCTCCCAGTGAAGAGCAGTTAGCCATGCTATTCATCAGCTTCCGTGACTGTCCGAACGGTAGGGCTGTAACTAATAGTCCTAGAAACACGCAGTAGACAGTGCAGTCATGCTAGAAAGAACAGTGCGTACACAGCCTTAGAAATGCTGACGCTGGGACTGGAGCTGCAGCTCGGTGAGTGCATGCTTGCCTAGCATGCTCCAGTTCTGACTTATTCCCTAACATCACCAAAAAAACCCCAAAACAATCAAAAATTTACCCACACATAAGAGCATGGTGTTTCAGCCATTGGGGGTGGAAGGGAAGCTGAGGCAGGAGGACTCCTTCAGCACAGCAGGTTGAGGGCAGCCTGGGCAGCATAAGACGATCCCATTTTGCAAAAAGTTATCAAGAAAAAAAAGTTATCAAGAAAAAAAAGTTATCAAGAAAAAAAAAGCCAAAATAATCAATGATAGCAGACAGGTTAGGAAAATGAACTTTGACCAAGAATATATTCTGCAGCTTCTGAAGTGTATTTTAATCAACTTTTATGCTACAGGTGTTGTGCTGCCCCCTTCGTAAACTGGCAGGGAAGCAGACAGAATGACCCTAATGTTTATAAAATGTTTTATTTACTTAGCTTAAATAAAACAGCAGTAATGCCAAATATGTGCTTTATAAACACTCAATTTTATCCTTAGAACAACCCCAGGAAGGTGACATATTTTATTGTTACCATTCCACAAAGAGCCAAGGAATAAAAGAAGGACCCTCTTGCGGCAACATAGCTGCTAACGGCAAAGTTAGACGTGACTAAGGAATCACACCCAGGCCTGCCCCCTGGTTGGACCAGTCAGCTGTTCTGCTGGGAAAGGGGACGATGGAACTAGCACATATTTATGCCAAGGTTTTGTCCGGAAGACAAGAAAATGCTAAAGTACTTAGTGAAGTGCTTGGGCAGAGGTAGCATGAAGCGACGTGACAACTATTAATATCTCATGGCATTTGAGAAAGAATGGGGTTAAAAGTGTATGCCCAGCAAATGATTAAACTCTAATAAAAGTGAGCCAAACTGGTGGAAGTCAAGGAAGCAGATGCCTTTCTCACAGGGGTGAGATCAGTACTGAAGAAGGTAGGAGGTTTTTGGGATATGGCTACCATAAAGAATGTTCAATTTATGAGAATTCATTGAGTTATGCTTTCAATGACTTGCACACTTGTCTGAATATTTTGATTTAAAATTTAAGAATTCTGTCCATCTTTCATGGATTAAAAAAATACAACTAGCTTTTTATAGAAAAAAAATGGACAGAACTGTGCCAAAATTGAAATAGCTTCTGTTGAATAATACAGCTGTCTATCACTAACATTCACGGAACATTCCGTATATGCCACCATCTCTCCTTATTTTAATCTCTAAGAAATCTGTGCAGTAGGAAGAGGGGCTCAGAGACAACTCTTCTGTGCTGTCCAGCTAAGCTGAAGAAGCAGAGGCTGATGTACAAGTGTGCTGGCCTCGCTTTGGCTGCCAGCTGCCAGCAAGGGGTTTGTGGAATGCAGAAGCTAATAAGAGGCCAAAAAAGCTCTCAGCTAAGAGTGGGGGACTTAGTGTGAACTTCCTGGTTGTTTCTTCAGGCCACATCAACTCCCAGATATCCTTTCTTATTGCTGTCCATAAATGCTTTATACTTTGGTAAGAACTCATCCCCAAGGAAATGGATTTCCTCTAATTTATCTCTGTAAATCAGCATGGAAAATGTCTCCGCTTCCCTGGGAACTGAGTCAAAGACCACACCTTCTTTCCTCCCAATGCACAGATGGCACAGCCCCTGGCTGCAAGCATGTGGGGAAAGAGTGGGAGAAGGAAAGCAGGTCTACTCAACAAGATGTGTCTTTGTAGACCTAGAGGAAGGTCTGTGCCGAACGAGTAGGGAGTTGTACCAAACAAAATAAAACTGGTGTCTGTAAGAAATCGTACTTTGTTTCACTACACAGTTCCCTGAATTTATTCTCTTATTTAAAGGCAATTAAAATGATTAGTTTCAAAATTAATTATGTGGATACCTGTTACACTTGTAATTAATTTTGTCTATTGCCTAAGGATTGCTGTTTTCAGTATCATACTGCTTTCGGTTTCTGTAACAAATCATCCCCATAGGAAACATTTCCTCCAAAATTTATGTGGCTACTAGCAAGCAGCATTTTTTCAGTTTTGTGGCTCACATGCAGTGGTGGTTTGGATAAGAATGGCCCCCATAGGTTAAAATAGTTGAGTGCTTAGCCGTCAGGGAGTGGCATTATTTGAGAGGGAGGAGAAGGTGTGGCCTTGCTGGAGTGAAGTGTGTCATGGGGATGGGCTTTGAGGTTTCCAAAGTCCATGCCAGACCCAGTTTCTCTTTCTTGGCCTGTAGTTCAGGATCTTAGCTACTTCCCCAGCACCTTGCCTGCCTGCCACCGTGTTCCCTGCTGTGATGCTGCTGCACTAAGCCCTAAAACTGTAAGCCCCAGTGAACTGCTTTCCTTTGTAAGAGTTGCCTTGGTCATGGTGTCTTCGCAGAACACTTCATGCTTTCTTAATATTATAAACCACCTTGCTCTGCTTCTGCCTTTTAGCAGGAGTAGCATATAGATAAACTAAAATAATAAGCAGGAGATGTTTGGAAAAAATAGGAGTCTTTGTTTACATTTTCTTGGCCGACCAGAAATATTTTATCTTACATTTGTTTCATTAATTTTATTTATTTACATATTTGAATTAAAGTACAGTATCAATACTATGTCAATATTTTTAGTTTGGTTACATTAATATGCACAATATATACAGTTTGAGACAAGAACCGAGTTCAACCTTTCCACTCCTTTCACAGAATTGACTGTCTCATCTCATAAAGAACTACATCTGTTCATTTTCTTTTCATTAATAATGACATAAATCACAAGAAAGCCATGTTTGAGCAGCTGAGAAAATAAAGATTCAATTATACATAGCTGTAGGGTGGAGAGTTACCAGACCTGACTTCATGTTGCTCAAAATCACCTTGTTGAGGACAGGGGAAGAGCTGGGTACAAAGTTCTCTCTCTGGGACTAATGAACAAATGTAAAACATGCTGTCCACTGTTAAGAGGGAGGCCCAGGAAGAAAGGCTTTCCTGTAAGTTGGTAAAAGCTGCATGGCCATGTCTTTGTGCAATAACTCACCGCCACACTTATAAGAAAAGCTCCTAGCACTGCACTTTTCTAGTACAGAAAGCCCGGCTCAGCATCTTGTGCAGCATCATTCCTGAGAAAGCCTTTATTCGGATGGTCCAGTAGAGGTTGGATGCCTTCTCCTTTTGGTCAACCAGGAGCAGTATGTCTTTGGAAAGTTCTTTTTGGGAAATGGCTTTTCCCAGGTCCAAATCACACCTGCTTGTTAGTCTTGTGGCAGGTCCATCACCCACAGAACTGATATTTGTAAATGTGCATTTTAATTCTTAACTGGAGTACACCCTGCAGGGTGCAGGGAAGGCGGGGGAGGAGTAGAGTTCAGTGGGCAGCATAGGGACTGAGGTTCACTCGGGTTTTGCACACATCTTGCTCTCTACCTCCCATGTTGCCTCTGCACGATAGAAACAGTCATCTCATCCTCTCAGCCCAGGAAGAACTTTCAGTTCTGTGGCCCCGCATTAACTGGCCTTCCAGAATCAACAGCTCTGCCTGGATGACGTGCCTTGGCTGAAGTCAGCATCTAAGCTGACTATCTAGGTCACTGCAGCAAGAGCAGCTGCAGGCTGGAGGACTGGTGCTAGGGATGCCGGAAACCTCCAGGGTATCCTCCGCTCAGGGTTTGCATTCCTGAGGCTCAACATTATTAGCTACTCTTCCATCCCTGTGGTCTCAGCTCAGCAGAATCTGGGAGAGTTTGGGGCGTCTTATCTGTACAGTCAGGTTCAAAACCTCTGTGCTCAGGTCAGTCTGTCCTCTGGAAATTCTTTAGGTGACGTGTTTGGATTGGGTCTTTAGGCAGATCATGTTTTGTACATATTTTTTTTATCTTAAACAATAAAACGATAAAAACATAAAATATGTTTTGCACATATTTTAAAGGCCCCAGATCTGAGCATCCATTCAAAAGACCTAGGTGTAGACATCTTAGGGGCTCGGGTCAGCAGCATCCTTTCTCTGCTCATCTTAAGGAAACCATTACTGCAGATTTTATGTTAGACTTCCCCTGTACCAAAGGGCTCAAATATCAGTCTAGTTACATCATCAGTGTGCTAATGAAAGTGCTCCTCCAAGTCCACATTACAGGGAAGACATCTGCTTCACTGGTATTCCATTAATAAAAGATAAATTTGATAGAACTAATTAGATTGTTCCAGGTACGAAGGATGCTTCTTTCTAGCGAGACCCAAGGTCACTTGTAAAAGAGATAACTTCAGATTGGTTACTAGGCCGCCATATTTACATAAAATGATATCCTGTGGGCATTCAGACAGCATATTCCTTTGAACATTAATTCCAGCTGTCACCCCCCCTGAAATTCTCCACCACAAAGCTTCACCTGGAAGCAGTTGGGAATATCAATTGTGGGTTATTAAGAATGAACACAGCTTCTCTATGCTGTGACTCTCAAGTCTCAAGATACTGTATCCATGGATGCACTCCATCCACAGCGCAACCTAGGCCTTCTGACACGTCACACCTCACCAGGGCAACCCTGGCCTTCCTACCCGTCACACTCATCAGAGCAACCCTGGCCTTCCTACACATCACACCTCAATAGGGCAACCCTGGCCTCCCTACCCGTCACACCTCACCAGGGCAACCCTGGCCTTCCTACACATCACACCTCACCAGGGCAACCCTGGCCTTCCTACCCGTCACACCTCACCAGAGCATCCCCTCTCCTTCCTGTGCTTCACATTTCCTACATCCCTCTTGTACCCTCGACTCTAGTGCTGCTGTGCTCACATTCATACTTCTGTCTATGCCTTCACTGTGCCTTCAGGTTTGACCTGCTGTTTCTTTCCTCACTACAAATGGTTTCCTCTCCGAGACAAGCCTCTCACCACTAATCGTCATAGTCACTGCAGTGTTTCCCTCACCCCTAATGCTGATATCCTGAAACTTTGGACGCCAAATTCTCTTCTATCTGCTCCCTCCAACCACATACTACTATTTCTGCTTCCCAAAAAGGCCATGTTCTCTCTTACTCAGGTACCTCCAGTCTGGACTCTTCATTTCCTCTAATGAGTTCCCTGCCACCTCATCCGGTTCGCTCATCTTCCTTCCAGCCTCCTGTAGAGTACTGGGTTTCCTAGGCAGTCTGCAGCGGTCACTCTGGATGCTTCTACAGTCTGCTTTGCATCCATTGGTCATGCACTTGCTACGTGTGACTGATGGTGTCTGCATGTCCTGTTAGCTTCGTAGTCCATGGAACAAGGATAAAATCTACCTGGTACCTAAACTAGTAATTTTATATACCAGCTTTTGATAAATATTTGCTGAGTTAATTAAGAGGTTAAATTATATTCACTTACTTCCCAAAAGAGATTTAGATATCTTATATTAAATTGTAAGAGAAGTAAGTAGGGCAGAAAGAAAGCTGGCTCCTGTGACACATGAGGCTGAGCTATCTGTAAACACTTACACAGAGCCACTGAGAATTCCTTCTAGAATCAAATGCCCAAAACATCATGGAAGGCTAAGACTATGAAAGAGAAGAGAGAGAGAGAGAGAGAGAGAGAGAGAGAGAGAGAGAGAGAGAGAGAGAGAGAGAGAGAGAGAGAGAGAGCTAACAGAGAAGCCAGTATGTGAGCCTCTGTCTCAGGCTCTCCAGTCCCTCACTGGACCAGACGCCTTCACACAACTGCATGTGTGGCCTGGGCGCACATGTGGTGCAGGGTAGAATTTACAGCTGCAGTTCTGAAGGTGAAACACAAACAGCTGTAACCACCACAACAGGAAAGAAGGAAGCTGCTCCCCATGTAGCCCTGCAATTTTCTCTTTGGGATCATGCCTTAGCAAGGTGCCTGAAATTCTCAGCGTGGTGCACAAAACCCTGAATTGAGAAATCTTGGAGGTTGGTCCCAGGAAGAAAGAAAGAAAGAAGAAAGAAAGAAAGGAAGGAAGGAAGGAAGGAAGGAAGGAAGGAAGGAAGGAAGGAAGGAAGGAAGGAAGGAAGGAAGGGAGGGAAGAAATATTTAGCTAAGAATTTTCTAAAATTGAATTAGTTATTGTTAGAGTCAGAAGTTGCTCAGGGAAGTTCACCCTTCCTGAAGTACAGTTTGAGTTAGTGAAGACTGAAGAAAGAAGATCCTCTTGGAGACAAACCCAGACAAGGTCTCATGCATGTGGGCGGGAGACGTCTATAAGCATACTAACCAAGCCACTGTTTGTAAAAGAAAAGAACTGGAAATTAAATTGTTCATCCTCCCAGTAACAAACTCCAGATTATCTTTTCTTCCCAGAATACCAGAGAGGAGCTAAAATAAACTCCAGCTACATTTGTCAATGTTAGCTAAAACCAAGAATTTTCAGAAGGATACTTACAGTATAATGTAGTCTCTGTAAACGGTAAGCATACATGACTATGTAAGTAGACATGACCAATTTAATAAAAACATAAACGTATATACAGAGATGTTCACCTCAGCTTCACAGTGATCAACTCTGTGAAACAATGGAGAAAGGGCTAGAATGTGTTTCTTTTTAGGAAGGGCATTCTGAGGGCAATCTGAAACACATTAGGGCTCACTTCTGGTCATGAGAAACTTCTGCTAAATTATTTCTGTGTTTTGAACTATTTCACTGCTAATTAGTTAAAGTTACATCATTAGGCAGCCCCCAAGAGGAATTATGTTTTAATATATTTGCCAATTGATGTCAAAACAGACAATGAACAGCACATAAGCCTTGGTCCAGCCACTCCATCTCAAAACATGTCTCTAGAGTAAGCTAATCAAATGAGGTCAAGGCTAACAGCAAATACATTCTGGAGTTTATGGGGGGTGGTAGTTGTTGGTTGTTTGCTTCGTTTTTGTTGTTCTTGTAAGTGGTTAAACACACACACACACACACACACATTATGTGGAATGCAAAGACAGAATTTTTCTGCCACTAAATTTTTATGAGTACAGAGAGATTATTCTCCATGGATTTCTCATATTCCTGCACAAACTGTTCTGAGCAAGGGGCATCTTTAAATGTCGAAAGGCTTTCAGAGCTACAACGAGTACGTTCCTGTGGAGAGATGAATCTTCCAGATATGTCAGAGGGCGCCCATAATGCCCTCTCGTTTCTTCTGCAGACACATTGCAGGGTAATGGACACCCTGCCCCTTTAGAAGAGAAGCTAAGGAGGTGTTTCAGTGTCCCTGGAATAGGCTGATTCTTCATTTCATGGTTCCTCTCTCTCTCAACATTAAATATAAGCACTTAAAAAGGCACAGTTATGTGTCATCCTTTTGAATGAAAAGTAGGGAGCCAACAGGATATAGCTCTAGGTAATAATTTAACATGAACAGCAAATCTGCGTCCCTGACACATGACGCACAGACGTACATGAAGGTGAAACATTCATAGATGATCTCATGTCTCCGTTGAAGCCCATTTCCCTGGTAAAGGCCAACACTGAATGTGCTCCATCTTTTACCAGTGAACCCAAGAAACACTGGCTCAGGAACTTGGTTTTCTGCTCTAATTTCTTGAGCTTGGAAGGATGGAGACCCCTCAAACACTTACAAGTCATTTTAGATAGTCTAAAAGTAGAATGGATGTAGAAAAGAGAATGAAAACATGCAAAGAAAACAAGTTAGCACGTTGCTTCATCATCCATGCAAGTGCCTGGAATCTTAACTCTGGGCTGTGCGTATGAACTAAGAGTCTTCTCTTTGGGTTAACCCAGTGAGAGCATGGCTTCCTCTCCTTTCAGCCTGTGTTTAAGCCAATGTGCCTGGTATGAGATGCTTGTTATGAAAGTCTCTGAGTCTCCTGCAGAGCAAGTTCAGATGTTTGAATAGCATTCAGTTTGAGGTATCCGGAGTTATGGGTCATTACATTTAAAAAAATTCAGACTTGAAAACGTTTTAACAGTTGCTTCCCTTAACAAGAAATAACAGAAGTTCCCTGAAGCCATGCAGCAAACATAATTAGAGATAATCACAAATACTTGTGGGTACACTGAGTGACCAGATAGATAGATACCCCAGCTAGCACACCAGAGGTTGTTGGGGTACACTGAGTGACTAGATAGGTGGATACCCCAGTTAGCACACCAGAGGTTGTTGGGGTACACTGAGTGACCTGATAGATGGATACCCCAGCTAGCACACCAGAGGTTGTTGGGGGAACATTGCAATGTTCTGGGAGGGAGGAGCAAAACAAGCGCTTTGAAAAATCATCATACTTATGTTTTCTTTGAACTATTTGAAATGGAAAGTTTTACACAGCTCAATTAAATAAGGTAAAAAAACAAAAGTCAGCATTATTTTCCCTTCCAGACTTTAACAGAAACTGTGCGGCATTCATTTCTCTTATTCAACTTTTTCTGTTTCACATGAAGGATCCCAAATTCACTTCAGTTTTATTTTTAAATTAAAGAAGTCTTAACATGTTATTCTTTCACAGTTCTGTGCAATATAATGTACTTTGATCATAATCTCCATTTTTCTCTCTGTTCTCTCTCTCTGACACCCTCTTTTCCCCAACCAGTCCCCTTCTACTCTTATGCCTTTTTGCAGGAGAGGGGTGACCCACTACTGTAATTGGGGTGTTTGTATGAGATAGGTTTGGGGCAATTTACTTGTGCCTGTGTCACTCAAGAAAAATGACTCACCCTCCTCAGCAACCATTCAGTGCTTCCCAGCTGGTGAAGGAGTATCAGTGGGCTCAGCCTTGTGCAGGTAGCCACCGCTGCCGTGAGCTTGTGGGTGAGAAGGTGTGTCACGTCCAGAAGATGGGGTTTCCCATCATTTCTTCCCATGCTCTGGACCTCGCCCACCACCCCTTCCATGATGTTCCTTTAGCCTTGAAATGGTGATATAAATGCCCCATTTAGGGCTGAGCACCAAACACTCACTTATCGTCAACACTCCACAGCTCATGCGAATGCAACACCCACTTGCCTGCGTGCTGTACAGGGGTTGGTTTGGTGCATTCATCTCTCTCAGCAGCCGGTGAGACATGTGCCTCAGCTCCAAGAGTCTACATGCCAGCTGGGGCTGCAGGAGTTTGGCCACTGACTTGGAAGAGCTGGATATGCTGGTTAGTCCTTGAATTAGTGTTCCCCGGTTGATCTGGGCTAAAGCGAGAGCCATTCTGACTTTGGATGTTCTCTGCACTGGATCTTTTTTCTGAAAAAAATAAGTTTTGACAAGAATCTGATATATGTTTCTCTGATATGTTACTAGCATTTACTTTCAGCAGAAACTGAGTATATAACAACACTGTACATTACATCGTAAACTTACTCAGCCCAACAAATACACCCTCTACAATTTACTGATACCCCTAATTAAAGCTTTTGTATGAACACATTAGTTTATCCTTAGGATAAAGATTGAGAATCGAATTAACCAAAAGATAGAACTGTTTCATTTCTATTTGGGTTTATGAGTTTTTGCTTGTTTGTTTGTTTTATGAAACAGGGTCTCACTGTGTCCTCCCGTGTCACCCTGATTTGTCTTGAATTTTCTATGTGGACCGGGTTGGCCTTGAACTCATAGAGATCTACCCATCACCACCTGCCTTGAGTGCTGGAATTGAAGGCATGTGCTACTATGCCTGGTGGTCTGTAGTATTTTTACATTAATTTTAGGGGCTGTTTTAAAAAGTAGACAAGATTATGTTTTTCTTTCTTACCTTCCTATCTTTGTTCCTTCCTATCTTCCTTTCTTCTTCCTTTCTCTTTCTTCCTTTCCTCCTTTCTCCCTTCCTTTTTTCCCCAATACTTGAGATTTAACCCAGCATCTTGTACATGCTAGGCAAGTGCTTTACCACTGAGCTATGTCTTAGCTTTATTTCTCCCTTTTATTCTTAGACAAGGTCTTGCTAAAGTGTGCAGGCTGGGTGTGAACCCACTCAGTAGCCCAGTGAGGCCTGGGATGTGCAGCCATTCTGCCTCATCCTCTGCACGGCTGCCCTGCAGCCCTGTAATTCCAGGCTCGACTCTAAACAGTAATTCTTAACCATGCACTGCTCGATATATGAAATAGTCAAGCAGTTACTTAAGACCATTAGGAATATTTTTGCAAGTTTAAGGGTTTTATTCATGAGCTAGAGTATAGTAAAAGAAGCTAAATCAAACATCCTATGTCAGTCAGTAAGTGTAAGGAACCCTGCATGTCAACACTTCAGAAATCCTAGCAATTTCTTTTTTTTTTATTTATTTATTTATTTATTTATTTATTTATTTATTTATTTATTATGTATACAATATTATGTCTGTGTGTATGTCTGCAGTCCAGAAGAGGGCACCAGACCTCATTACAGATGGTTGTGAGCCACCACGTGGTTGCCGGGAATTGAACTCAGAACCTTTGGAAGAGCAGGCAATGCTCTTAACCACTGAGCCATCTCTCCAGCCCCAATCCTAGCAATTTCTAACAAAACTGTAGTTTCGTCAAAATATCTAACATGAACACGTGGTTTGTGTGCTCTGCTCGTCTTTCACCACCGCGACACCGCATAGAGTGTGCTTAACTGTATTCCAGGCAGCAAACAGGCAGCTTCATCACTAATTTAAGCAATTTGGGGGTCATCAGACCATCCTTAGGGGAAAAAATTAGTTAGGCATTGGCTACAGATAAGCAACATTTGAGTCTGCAGTATTTTGTTAAACTTAATATATACATAGAAACTATCTGGCCGGGCGGTGGTGGTGCACTCCTTTAATCCCAGCACTCGGGAGGCAGAGGCAGGCGGATTTCTGTGAGTTCGTGGCCAGCCTGGTCTACAAGAGCTAGTTCCAAGATAGGCTCCAAAGCTATAGAGAAACCCTGTCTCAGAAAACAAACAAACAAACAAAACCCAAAAAAAAAGAAAAATCTGTTAAATTTTTTTTCTTTGCAGTGAACATGTGCTCACCTAAGAGCTTACATTTTATATATTTACTTTAAAAATAGACATCACCAGATTTTAGTATTTTTCTTACTGTTCAGTATTTTTCATTGAAGACAACTGGAAGATGGTCTAGCCCACCGTGATGATGCATTTTTGCCCTGTTTGGTGTCCTGATATGATTTGTTCTGTTAACTTTTCTGAAAAGTTCTCGGTCTCCCAGACAGCAGCAACAGTAACTAGTGCTTTCCAGACAGCTGAAACTGCTCCCCTCCTCAGCCACAATGAGGAAAGCAATCTAAAAACAAAGTGATCAAAACAGGCCAAAGGGATAGTGACCTGCTGTGGTTTTCTTCCCTGGGTGTGGTTGAAGGGCAGCCCAGAGAAATCACACCGCCTGGAGGCTGAGGCTCAACTGCCTGACCCTTTGCAGCTCCTCTCCAGCTGGTATTGGCACTGGTTTGTTCTCGCTTGTGACTGCAGTTCACCTACACTCTCCCTCACGGTAGTTATTACTAAGAGTAGTCAGGACAAACAGGCATGGGCATGGGAAGTTTACCCTTGTAAACTTTGTCTCTGTGTTCGAGTGGTCAGTGTTTGGGGAATCTATCATGGTGGCAGTTAGGAACTGATACTGTTACTTCTGCAGATTCCTCTCCTTATTTTCTACATGACAGGGTCTTTGACTTTCTTCTGATTGTTCTGAGACACAGTCATGCTGTCCAAGCCAAACTAGTCTCAAACTCCACTGGGCTCAAAATCTGGACCCTCCTTCCTCTCACTTGAGTGACAGAGTTGCAGTCATGCACTATTTGGCCTTAGCGTCTTCACTAGGCCACGGCTGGAGTCACTGTTTCCCACCAGACTAATCAAGCTGTCCAACGCCCCTTCTACATTTTCCTTTTTGATTTTTTTTGTCTTATATAAAAATAAGGGTAATTATCATTGATAATTTGGTCAGCTCCGATCTCATATAGGGCTCAGATAATTTAAGTTGATCAAAATAGGAATGATTGTTAAAAACATTTTTCCAAGCAAGGCTGCATTGAAATACAGGCGTATTTAGCTGTCACCGTGAAATCCTGGCTGACTTTCCATCTTTACCTGTGGCTCATGACTGTGGTCTTTGTTTCCCTCTAATGCTTAGTTGTTACAATTTGGTCATGAGCTCCTTTTACATGCCTTTTAAAACGCTTTCTTTAAAATAAAGCCAAACAAAACAAACCAACAAATAAAAGTTTTCCCATATACTTTTCAAGGCTTTGTTACTTCCAACAATGCAATGCTCTTGATCACTTGTATCTTCCCAACTACAAACTGGTCCTTTCCCAGAAAGACATGTTCCGGCCCCCTCAGGAAACTGATGTAAGAAAGCAAAAGCAACGTTTGCATGCACATGCGCACGCACATGCAAGCAGGTGTGGTTCTCGCCTGCACTCTGAACAAACAATGACAGGGAGGAGCAGCTACCTATATTTCTCATGTGGAGTGCCATATTTGTGATGATGTCAAAGCACTATGACTTGTTTTCTTCTTCTTCCTCTTCTTCTTCTTGTTGTTTTTCTCTTTTTCTAATTTTTTTCATTTTTTGTTTTCTGAGAGACAGGGTTTCTTTGTGCAACAGCCCTAGCTGTCCTGGAACTAGCTAGTTGGCCTCGAACTCAGAGAGGTCTGCATGCCTTTGCTTCCTGAGTACTGGGATTAAAGGCATGCTGTTGATGGAGCTATGGGCTGCATCCCTGCTGCCCAGCTCGGCCGCCTGGCTAGCTTATGCCCCAAAATAACAACACACAAACTGTATTCATTTAAACACTGCCTGACCCATTTCTATTAATGTGTGTAGCACCGAGGTGCGCTTACCAAGAAGATTCTAGCCTACTCCATCCTGGGTCGGAGCTTCATCGGTCTGCCCCAGAGAGCAGAGCTAAGGCATATGAGCTCACTTCCTCTTCCAGCATTCTGTTCTGTTTACTCCACCCCCCTAAAGGCTGGCCTATCAAATGGGCCGAGGCAGTTTCTTTATTAGCCAATGACCTTCCTCCATCAGCGTGCGCCACCACCATCTTTGTTTTTCTAATCAGATCATTGTGTGGTTTTAAATATAGACATCGACCCCAAATGAAGCAATCTTCATGCTTGCCTGCTAATTTTCTCTTAGAGGCTTAGCCCAGCATCTGGTTCCAGTGGAATTGTGGGAGTTCCTTTGCACACTGCTCGCCATCATCTTAGTAGTTTGTGGAGGCCAGGAAGTAAAGGCCCCACCCAAGCACCCAGAGGGCAAGTCAATAAACTGGCTTCTGGAACCCTGCTCTAGATTTCCCCGTTTGAATACGTAATCTCCTACCCCCACCCTGGGCTTTCTGGTTTCTATGTTTGTGGGGGTCCCCCCTCCCCACAGGGTGTGTTGTCTCCGGTTTTAACGCTGACCTTTCGTTTCTTTTATCACAGTTCTTACTATCCTCTGCCTATAAAACCAGCCCGTCAGCAAAAGTATTCAATTCTTCCTTTGTACTGTCCCAGAATTTGACCCCTCACCTATCCACCCCTAGTCTAAAATACGTATTTCTTCTCTAGGTTAGCGGATTAGCCACCTGCACAGTTCCCTTGTCCCAACTTTGCTTGTTTTCATTATTTCAGCAGCAAATAAAACGGAGAGATCCAGCTCAAACAGGTGTCAGATCACACATCTTCCATAGGCTCAGCTGATGTTGAACTCCGACTGAAAACTAAGCCCATACAAGCCCTGTGGCTTCACCTCCCTGACCCCACCTTCTTCTCTTTCCTTTTTCAATATTTGTGGAACTTAATCAGGAAAGTTTTGTGAAAGTTGAAATAATTCTTGCCAAATCCAGACAAAACCAGAGCTAGGAGATTGGGTGGGGGTGGGGGGCAAGTACTGAGGTAAGCAGAGGTAAGCACTTTCTCAAGAGGGTTCTTCTTCTTCACATCCTATGCTTTGTGCATCTCACACACAAATGGGTTTGTGGTCTAAGTCAGCAAAGTGAATGGGGAACAATGGGTGAAAACTATCATTGCGTTCCTCCTTAAATGGTCTAAGAAGCTCATAAGGAAAGAAATTCAAGGTGTTGGAAACAGGATAGAGCTCTCTTTAGGGAGAAGGTACCCAAAAGTCTGAACATAAATCACAGTCTTGGATCAAGTAACAACGATACTATCAGAAGATAGAGCAAGGTGAAAGGCATATAAAAATTTGCAGGTTTTTTTGGTTGAACAAAATCTCAATGTCTCTAACTTTGGCGTTGGAGAAAGCACATTTTGGAAAAGAAATAAGTCA